GGGGACACACAACATCAAAAGGAGTCTTGGGGGGGGTTTCCAGGGGACTTCCTGGGGTCACTTCTAGGGACGGGGACATTTTGGGGGTCTCAGAGGTGCCCAGGACCACTCTGGAGGTGCTCAAGGGGTGTCCAAGGTGCCCTGGACAATATTGGGGGGCCCTGGGTGGTCCCATGGGGGTCCAGGACCACACTGGGAGTCTTGGGGTGCTCTTGGGGTGGCCAGGACCACCCTGGGGGTGCCCAGGACCACGCTGAAGGTGCCCCTGACCACGCTGGGAGTCCCTGGGTGGTCCCATGAGGTGTCCAGGACGATTTGAGGGGGTCTTGGGGTGTCCAGAGCCACCCTGGCGGAGCCAAGGACAGTATCAGGGGACCCTCGGTGGTCCCATGGGTGCCCAGGACCACACTGAGGGTCCCTGGGTGGCCCCATGAGGGGTCCAGGACCATTTGAGGGGGGCTTGGGGTGTCCAGAGCCACCCTGGCGGAGCCAAGGACAGTATCAGGGGACCCTCGGTGGTCCCATGGGTGCCCAGGACCACGCTGAAGGTGCCCCTGACCACGCTGGGAGTCCCTGGGTGGTCCCATGAGGTGTCCAGGACCATTTGAGGGGGTCTTGGGGTGTCCAGAACCACCCTGGGGGTGCCAAGGACAGTATCAGGGGACCCTCGGTGGTCCCATGGGTGCCCAGGACCACAATTGAGTGCCCAGGACCACACTGAGGGTCCCTGGGTGGCCCCATGAGGTGTCCAGGACCATTTGGGGGGGATCTTGGGGTGCCCAGGACCACTCTAGGGGTGCCCCAGGGGTGCCCAGGACCACACTGGGGGTCCCTGGGTGGTCCCATGAGGTGTCCAGGACCATTCTGGGGGGGGTCCGGGACCACATTGGTGGTCTTGGGGCGCTCTTGGGGTGGCCAAGACCACCCTGGGGGTGCCAAGGACAGTATCAGGGCACCTTAGATGGTCCCATGGGTGTCAGGGACCACCCTGGGGGTGCCCAGGAACGTGCTGGGGGTCCCTGGGTGGTCCCATGAGGTGTCCAGGACCATTTGGGGGAGATCTTGGGGTGCCCAGGACCACAATTGGGTGCCCCAGGGGTGCCCAGGACCACACTGAGGGTCCCTGGGTGGTCCCATGAGGGTCCCATTCTAGGGAGTCTTGGGGTGCTCTCGGGGTGTCCAGGACCACCCTGGGGGCACCCAGGACCCCACTGGGGGGCACCCAGGCAGGTCTTCCATGCTCCAACCCCCCCCTCCTCACCTCCAAGGTGCCCCTTTTGGTGGGATTAAGGATGAGGAACTTCTTGAGCAGGTTTTCGCAGTCGGTGGACATGTAAAAAGGGATGCGGTATTTCCCCCGCAGCACCCGCTCCCGCAACTCCTGGGGGGGGGACAAACACCCATCAGCAGGACACCGTGACCCCCCCACCCCACGGAACATTTCCCCCCCCCCAAAAAAACCCAACCCTGAGGTGTTACCTTCAGATTTTGCCCATCGAAGGGCAAGGAACCGCTGACCAGGGTGTAGAGGATGACGCCCAAACTCCAGACGTCGACTTCGGGGCCGTCGTATTTTTTCCCCTGGAAGAGTTCGGGGGCGGCGTAGGGGGGGGACCCGCAAAAAGTGTCCAATTTGTTCCCGAAGGTGAATTCGTTGCTGAACCCAAAATCGGCGATTTTGATGTTCATGTCGGCGTCCAGCAGGAGGTTTTCCGCCTGTCCCGGGGGGGGAAGGGAGAGCACCACGAGGTTGGTTTAGGGGTGTCTGGGTGCTGCCCTGGGGGTCCCAGCACGTCCCAGGGGGGGTTCAGGGGTGTCTGGGTGCTGCCCAAGGGGTCCTTGTGCCCTCCCAGGGGTGTCTGGGTGCCCCCCAAAAGGTCCTGGGCACCCTCCCAGGGGGGTTCAGGGGTGTCTGGGTGCTGCCCTGGGGGTCCTTGCACCTCCCAGGGGGGTTCAGGGGTGTCTGGGTGCTGCCCTGGGGGTCCTGGCTCCCTCCCAGGGGGTTCAGGGGTGTCTGGGTGCTGCCCTGGGGGTCCTTGCACCTCCCAGGGGGGTTCAGGGGTGTCTGGGTGCTGCCCTGGGGGTCCTAGCACCTCCCGGGGGGCTTCAGGGGTGTCTGGGTGCTGCCCTGGGGGTCCTTGCACCTCCCAGGGGGGTTCAGGGGTGTCTGGGTGCTGCCCTGGGGGTCCTTGCACCTCCCAGGGGGGTTCAGGGGTGTCTGGGTGCTGCCCTGGGGGTCCTTGCACCTCCCAGGGGGGTTCAGGGGTGTCTGGGTGCTGCCCTGGGGGTCCTTGCACCTCCCAGGGGGGTTCAGGGGTGTCTGGGTGCTGCCCTGGGGGTCCTTGCACCTCCCAGGGGGGTTCAGGGGTGTCTGGGTGCTGCCCTGGGGGTCCTTGCACCTCCCAGGGGGGTTCAGGGGTGTCTGGAACCCCCTTGGATGTGTCACACCCGTGTGTGTGTGTGTCCCCCTGCCCCGACCTGTCGAAACTTTGCCCGGGCCTCCTTCTCCTTCATGCGCCCGTGGGCCACCAAGTAGTCGAAAACCTCACCTGGGGGGGCAGAATAAGAAAAGGGGGGTGGGGGTCCTTGCACCATCCCAGGGTGTCTGGAACCTCCCAGGAGGTTCAGGGGTGTCTGGGTGCTGCCCTGGCATCAAGGGGGGTGGGAGCCCCGAGGAGCCCCTTGGGGTGCTGGCAGGGGGGTCCCGGGGGGGTCCCAAGGTGGTGGCTCCTCACCTTCAGGTCCCTGTGGACAATGAACTTCTGGTGGCAGTACTGCACGGCCGACACTATCTGCAGCCCAGCACCTCCCGGGGAGGTTCAGGGGTGTCTGGGTGCTGCCCTGGGGGTCCTTGCACCATCCCAGGGTGTCTGGAACCTCCCAGGAGGTTCAGGGGTGTCTGGGTGCTGCCCTGGCATCAAGGGGGGTGGGGGCCCCGAGGAGCCCCTTGGGGTGCTGGCAGGGGGGTCCCGGGGGGGTCCCAAGGTGGTGGCTCCTCACCTTCAGGTCCCTGTGGACAATGAACTTCTGGTGGCAGTACTGCACGGCCGACACTATCTGCAGGAGAGGG